AACTTAAACCCTTAAGAATTCACAAATCAAAAAATTTTATAAAAAAAAAATACACAATTATTATATCGAAATTATAAAAATATAATAAATATTTTTTTAATAAAATTTTACTATTATTAACTATTTATTTCTGAGCTGAATTAACCCAACCCTTAAATATATATCATGTTTACTTCCAATTCGTCTGCATTAAGTTGTGAATTACACTAATTATTGGTCTCCAATTTGCTGGTTGATTAAGGAATTGTTTGAAGCCCAATATCCATCCATAACAACCCAAAGTTTATGCAACATAAGCTGTTGCAGAACCCAAATTTTTGTAAAAGCCAAGCATCCACTAGGGCCCAATTCAGATAATATAATAATAAAAAATTATATAATAAAAGCATATTATAAAAAAATTTAAATTTTAACTATTGCCTTAAGTCAAAACATAGCATTGGAATAATACAAACATAAATTTTTTATTAATATTAAATTTATTAAACTAAATACTCACATCAACTGAAAAATAAGTAACGTTTTATATATTCGGAACAAAGTATGGTTAATTAAGTATAATATCTTTAATGTCTCTTTAAAAGAATTGTATATAAATGAATTATTTAATATTATTACTTTGTTCAAAGGTGCATTTATTATATTCTTAAAATTTATTTATAAACATTTGTATCTTTTTATTTTTAAGAGAAAGAGAGAGGACATTAAGAGACTTATTTGTAAGAAAATACATAGGTAGAATTAGAAGTGAACTTAACAATTTATTAATATTTAATTTATTGTAGTAAATATTTAACATTCAGTAACATTTTATTACTCTTTTCTCCAGCAACTTCTACACATGAGATAAATATAAAATAAAATAAGTAATATAATAAAAAAAAATTATTATCTTCAATATTTAAATTTAAGATTTAGTTATTGTCTTAGGTTAAAACTTAGCATTAGCACAATCCAAACTTAATAATTATACTTAAAAATACATTAATACTTACACTATATAGGGATAACTTTTTATTTATATTTTTGGACTTTTTGTTCTGTTAAATATATATTTATTTTATTAATATTGAATTTATTAAAGTAAATATTCACGTTAACTAAAAAAAGAAATATTTTATAACACTTTTTTCTAGTTACTTTTGCAAAAATGAAAAAAATATAAAATAAAAAAAGATGTAATAAATTATTTTTAAAAAATTGCATGATAAAAATATACGTTTAAAAATAAGGGTTTATAAATTCAATCCTTAGAGTTAAGTTTAAACACCTAAAAATTATATTTTTTTATTAAAAATATGTATTACACTTTATTTAACTAAATATTCAAAAAAAGAAAAAGAAAGAGAAGGCCTTAAAAGATTTAAATATGAAAAAAATACATGTGTAAACTTAGATGTGAAATTAATTTTTTATCAATATTACATTTATTGAAGTAAGTATTCACGTTAACTAAAAAACTAGTAATATTTTATAACTCTTTTATCTAGCAACGTCTGTAGTTGTAAGATAAATATAAAATAAAACAAATAATATAATAAAAAATTTAAAATTAAATAATAAAAGTATATGTATAAAAGAAAATTATTTTAAATTTAATTATTGTCTTAGTCAAAACTTAGCATTAGAATAATCCATATATAATTTTTTCATAAAAATAAATTAATATTTAAACTACAAATATAACATTTTTATTAATATTAAATTTATTAAAGTAAATATTCACATTAACTGAAAAATAAGTAATATTGTATAGCTGTTTTTTAGCTATTTTAAAGTCTATTTGGTGGTCAAAATAAAATAAAGATAGCTAGAAGAAAAGAGTTAGATAAGATAAACTTTTATCATACACAATATTTGATAAAAATAAAGATATATATAATATACAAAAAATAATAAAATTATTATTTTGTTTATATTTATTAAATTAAATTTTAAATTTTTTACTTTGAATAAATTGTTTATTTTTAATTTATATAAAATATATAAATAATTTAATATATTTTTAAGTAAAAAATATATAAATATATTTTAATTTATATTTTAAAAATATATTAAAAAATAGAGAGAAAAAGAATAATATAATATAATAAATTAAAAATATTTTGAAAAGACAATTATTTTTTTCTCTTTTTCTTCTAACTCAATTATATTTAAAAGAACAATTATACTGATGTAATATAATATAATAAGTAACAAGATAAATTAATCCTATTTTCATGACTTAACAGTAGTTAATTAACAACATATATGATATCTTATTTTATTATATATATCCTATTCTTAGCCACCAATTCATCCTCATAAATAATGAAATTCTAATGTCTATATTCAAAATAAAATTCTGTCAATTTTAATATTTTTTAAAATTATATATAAATAAAGTATTTAATATCATTACATTATTCAAAGCTACATTTATTATATTTTTAAATTTATTCATAAACACTTGTATTTATTTTATTTTATTTTATTAAGAGAAAGAAAAAAAAAGACTTTAAGAAATTTATTTGTAAAAATTACATAAATTAAATTAGAAGTAAACTTAACAATTTTATTAATAATAAATTTATTATATTAAATATTACATATACTGAATAATTAGTAATATTTTGTAACTTTTTATCTAGTAACTTCTACAAATGTGAGATAAATATAAAATAAAATAAGTAATACAATAAAATATTATTTTATTAACTACGATCTTTAAATTTAAGATTTAACTATTTTCTTAGGTCAAAACTTAGCATTAGCATAATCAAAACTTATTATTTTTACTTAAAAATACATTAGTATTTACACTAGATAACATTTTTATTAATATTTTTAGACTTTTTACCCGTTAAATATTAAAGAAATATTTGTATTAATATTAAATTGATTAAAGTACATATTCACATTAACTAAAAACAAAAGAGTAACATTTTATAATTTTTTAAATTTCCTTTACAGATATGACAAAAAAAAAAAGATTAAAATAAGTTATGCAATAAATTATTTTAAACAGTTACATGATAAAAATACATGTATAAAAATAAGTGTTTATATACTTCAATTCTTAAACTTAAGTTTAAACACCTCAAAATAACATTTTTTATTAAAAAATATTCATCACACTTTTATTACTTTAATATAATAAGTATATATATATATATATATATATATATATAATAAAATTTAATTTACTTTTAAATATTTATATATATAATAAAAAGTAATTAAGAGAATAATAATAATGAACATTTGTTTTTTATTTTAAAAAGAGATTTTTTTTAAAAAAATGCAAACAAATGTGTTTTTATTATCTATTTTTTACTATTTGTTTTTAAATTTTATGAAAATCTCAGTGATTGACATGATGGAGATGCCAACTATAAATCTACTTCTAATAGCAAAGTTGGGTCAAGCCTTGTGTGAGACACACAAGTGAATTCAACAAATTAAATTAAGGAGAAAGGTCATTTTCTTACGTATAAGAGTAAGAATTTATGCTTACTTTTAAATTTTTTTTAATTCCTTAGAGTATAAAAAAAAACCTTGCAATGTAAAAAAAAAACTATGCTCAAATTCATTTAATATATATTTAATGAGACTCCAAGTCTCCAACGTCTATATTCAAAATAAAAAAAAGTCAAATTGAATGTCTTAAATGTTTTTCATAGAAAATTGTATATAAATTAAGCATTTAATATTATTGCCTTATTTAAAACTGCACTTAATATAGTCATAAATTTATTCATAGAAAAGTTATATATGGATGAGTAGGTAAAATCACTTAGTTAGTTAAAATTAAAAATAATTTATTAGATTTTATTTGAATGGTCAAAATTTTAAAAATATATACTAGAACACGATCACGGTTTAACTTTTAATCTTTAGGATTAAGGTATGATTGCATAATTCAAATATAAAGTTTTTACAATCTTACAGTGAGAATATTTCTCAATCAATGCACATATACACACACATCTATATAATTAAACTATCTTAATAAGTTTAATAGGCTTCTTAAAAGAATAACATTGGACCTATTTTTTTATAAAAAAAATTGACTTTTTAAAAATCTAGGCTTAATCTAGCCTTAAATAACCCAAGCCACAACTCTTAGTAAGTTGGCTAACCCATTTTTTACTATTTGTTTTAAAATTTTATTAAGATCTCGACTATTAGAATGAACGAGACGTTGGCCCTTAATCTGTTTCAAGCTTCATGTCAAATACAAAAGTGGATAGATGTATCAAACACTCAATAAAAAAAAAATCATTTTATTACTTTTAAGAAAAGAAAAATCTATTTACTCTGATCATTTGTCATTCTTTATAATAGCAAAGCAATTCTCTTAATTTAAACAAACAACAACGATTAAATGTAATATATATATATATAATTAAAAAACGAAACTCCAACGTTTGTATTAAAAACATAGCACCGTCAAATAAAATATTTTTAATGTCTTTTTAAAAAATTGTTTATAAATAAAACATTTAATATTATTATTATATTAAAAATTTCATTTATTATATTTTTAAATATACTCATAAATATTTGTATTAAAAAAATACATAGGTAGAGTTTTGAAATGAACTTAACATTTTTATTAATATAAAATATTCTCTTTAAAAAACTAAGTGACGTTTTATAACCGTTTTCTCTTGCAACTTCTGCCATATGAGATAAGTATAAAATAAAATAAATAGTATATAAACTTCAATCTTGAAATTGAAGTCAAAACATAGCATCAAGACGATGGAATCTAATAAAAGCAATTAAGAGTGAAATAATTACAATAATAAAAAAAATGAATATTTATTTTATCCCAAAAAAATGAAAAATCTGGTGTGGAGGTGAGTGTGTCAGCAATAAAAGCAGAGTTCTCTTTAGCTCACATGCAAAGTAAATTGCAAACACTCTTCCTTCCCTTTCCTTGCATTGCATTTCTTTCCCTTGCACATCCTCTGCTTCTCCACACAACACTGAAAAGTGAAAACTAAGAAGCACCAATGTCCACCCCCAGAAAAAAGCTCATTTTGAACACCGTCTCCGTTAACCTTGGCTGCGGAACCTGCAGAAGACTAAAGCTCCGTCACATATTCCACTCAAAGCCCAAGCCCAAGAACCAAAAGCACAAGCTTTACAATCACTCTTCTTCAACTGAGGACAGAGACGACACTGCCACGAGCAGCACCACCAACACCTCTGCCACCACATTCTCTCCTCACTACGACTCCTCGCAGTTGTGTGTGAGAGGGTTCGGAAGAGTTGGAAGCGAAGGCGTGGCTGTGGAGAAAGATTCCGATGACCCTTATGTGGATTTCAGACATTCGATGCTTCAAATGATATTGGAGAATGAGATTTACTCTAAGGATGATCTTAGAGACCTTCTTAACTGTTTTCTTCAGCTTAATTCTCCGCATCATCATGGGGTTATTGTCAAGGCTTTCACTGAGATCTGGAATGGGGTCTTCTCTGCTTCCCGTAAGTCACGTGACTTCTAGGTTCCATCCCGTGACTCACATCTTTTGTAAGCGAAGTGAAGACAGTTAGAGAGGTGAAATGCTAATGTCTAATTCTAATTCTAATGTACTTAGTCAATCAATTACTTGAGTTGTGTGCAGAGCTTCAGTTGATAACATGACGTTGTATTTTTATCATGTAGACGTGCAAAGCAAAGTAACTCTGTTTTAACTTGTGTTAAGAGTAATGTTATTCAATCCAATTGCGTAAAAGCTTGCAACGGAGTCTGTTTACCTTTTAAAAGATTTACTTTTGTGTGTATTTTGGTTGTGGGGCTGGGTAATACGTGAGCAAAGTGGAAATATATTCTCGTACAAAAATGATTTTTGAGGATTGAGATTAATATTTTTTTAAAAAAATAAAAATTAGCATTTGTTGTCGCTATCTTGTAGATGAGAGACAAATCTGGAGTAGAATCAAGCGCAAGAAGAGTCTTCCATTATCTAATCTTCTTTGAAGCAATACATGTTGGTCATTCTTCTTTAGTTTCGGATACGGAGCTAGATATATCAATGACTATTTCATTGTCCAGAGGAAACAACTGTGTAAATTAGCACCTGCACCTGTTGATGCATACTTTAAAATTGAAAGAATCTATAATTAAAATTTCACTGAAAAAGTTTTGAACTTATTTTATAACGCAAGAAGATGCATGCCAGGAAGGAGCGTGTGGAGCCGCGAATCCGTTTGTGAGTTGGGGATTTGGTGATAAATAGTTGCCAACTTGGCAGGTATTGAGTGGGAACTGGGAAGTCAGCAGTGGTAAAATATAGGCATTGGGATTTGAATTACAATAATAAGAAGGGTCCAAAGTCCAAGTGAGCAGAGGCAGAGTGTTTTAATGCCTTTGAATGAGATGAGAATAGAAATTTTTGTGACAGACTTGGTGCTTTTCCCAATATTGGTATTAATCTTTGGCTACTCCGTACTATTTGTTTTTAGTATTGTTGCCAGTTGGTATGTATCAATACTATCTTGTTTCTATTCAAGTACTTATATTGTTTTCTATTTTTTTGTGTATTTCAACACTCATTACTCTAGTACGTGCATTTAGTTCTTGTTTGTATTTACTTGGGCATTCATTGTATTACTGCCAGCATTTTTCTATGAATTTACACCCCTCTGATGGAGGTAGGTTCCAATGTGTAATCAAGGTCAACAAGCATTTATATCTCTTAGAAAACACTGTAATTTTTAATTAACATGCAATTAAGTTAATTAAAATATCTCTCTTCCTTCATCTTAACCAAAAAATAAAAATAAAAAAGTATTGAAGATCGTCGCTGGAGTTACATTTACAGAAGGTGCCCAAAAGGGTGGGGGTATAAGGAACGGCTGTGAAATCATTTCGGATCAAGATTCTGAATAGAACAGTATAAAGCACTCGTAAAGCATATTTTAACTAATTAAGAAATATATATTAAATAAACATTAAATTAAATTGTATATAAAAATGTACTCGTAATTCAATGTAAACTATTGGATAAAGATCAAACTGACACTTCTTTTACCATGCTTTCTTACTGTAGTGAATACAGATTGTGTCTCCACTACACTTCCTAATATGTGCTTGAGTTAAAAAGATAATGATAGCGTGAATAGGAAGGGGTCATTTAGCTCAACGGTTTCGAATTTTTAGAGTGTTTTAAGTACCCAAGGTGGAACCATGCTTGTATCTTTCAAAGACACGACAGTTCAAGAGAGAAAAGGTAAAGAACTTTACTTTTAATTGCAAGATCCATATTGATAAACTTAAGGGGGGAAAAGCATAGGTGCAGATTATTAGCAGCAGTTCTCAAATGAGTTACCCATAAAGATGTGCTTTCAATCTCTGTCTCACTTTGTACTCTAAAATAAGATTCAGCATCAGTTGATGGATTTAAATGTGGTCTACTCTCATGGGATAGTCAACTCTGTAGCAGAACATCTTCATGGTAGTGGAAGCATAGTGGACCATTATTCAAAACAAAAATTCAGACCATAATTCAGATAAAGATATGTAACTAAATTAACAAGTTGTCCAACTCAGCTTTGCCATATACTTGCCATGCAGAGAAACATGTTTACTTCTTCCATAACGTGTTTCATTGGTGTTGAAATTTAATCAAGATTATCAAATAATCAAATAATCAAATATTCTACCTGTTAATAATTTACCTTAAACACACTCCAAGAAACATGCAGGTTCCATCACACAGGACTTAATTGAAGTTTATAAATGACAATCTTTATCCGGTGGCCATTCTTTTGGTAGTGGAGAACATCTTTGTACTTGTGTAGGCCAGAGTTAAAATGATTTGTTACCTGAACTAAAAGTAAAGTTGTGTTATGATTTATCATCAACAGAGAGAGCTAAGAAAAGTTACACAAAAAGATGTGATATTGTCTTGACAAGAAAAGCAAACTAGCTTCTGATGTATATATGCTATGAGTTGGTACTGTGGCACAAAAGAATTAGTGAAAGTCTTGGCACACACTTTCTCTAGATTGATTCAATCAACTTTAATCTTTTTTTATCAAGTGGGAAGCTTAATACTTAGCAATAGGTTCATCAATTGTTTCATAAGTCATGAATTTTAGTATGTGTAGGGTATATTGTATCATTTTACGAGTGGATAAGAGAGGTTCTGTTTTGTTCTGTCTTAGTCTTTTGGTTGGGGCAAAGGCTCGTTCTTGCCGCTCGATAAGCCAGGCTAGGGTACTCAACGTGGTATTTTATTTTATTTTATTTTTTACATCACTTAAGAAGAAAATTAATATTTGACTAAAGCCTAACATTCAGATAAATTAGTTTTTAAAATTTTAAAATAGCCGTTAATCTTTGACTTTGTTAAATATTAGACACTTTAATTTAATTAACAATTTTTATTATAACAATTGTTAGCGTTATAGTGAATATAAATCATATATTTGCAGAATGATTCAAGGGTTTTTGAGGCCTTAAACAAACTTAAAAATGAGATATTTTTTAATTAATAAAACAGTTTATTAAAATTATTATAATTTTATTTAAAATTTATTTTTTAAACTTTCTGTAATGCAAAATTATTTATAAAATAATAAAATAAAAAAATTTATTTTGAGATTAATCTCTAAGAAACATGCTAAAAAAATCATTAACAAATGATAATTTTTTAATTTTTAGTTTTATCTTGGATTAACGTATTTAGAAGGAATAAATCAAATGTTAAACAGTAAGCTAAATTTCTTTTCCACTACAATAAAAACACACAGTAACACAGCGATAAAAGATAATAAAAATAATTGAATATTAGTTAATGACACTCAAATTAAATATCAAATTAAAACAAAATTCAATAACAACAAAAGGAGTAGAGAATAGTGAGAGAAAGAAAAAGATAAATATAAGAATTAAAAAATATTAAAAATTGTTTAATTTTTTTTATTACTCAATTATTTTTTTAAAATAAAATAAATTAATTATTTGTTGATTGAAAGTTACTGCTTATTAAATATTACTTGTATTACCAAAAAAAAAATTAACAGTCATTTAGACTATTTTAATTTAAAACTATTTTTAAATATAATTTTTTAATCTTTTAGAAGTGTATTAATAAAAATTTTTTAGCCTAAAGCAAGGCTGCTTGGGCTTTAGACCAGCCCTAGACCTTTGTGACCAAAATGAAGTCATTTCACATTCTTGCTCTAACTCGTAAATTCAAATTCCACATTGACAAGGTTTTTTTGGTGTGATATGTGCCCTCCTTCTTAACTTTTGTTTATTGATATTGGAGATACAAAAGTTACTCTGACGATAAGAAGACCCTCAAATCCAATGGTAGCATTTGCCTCTTTTACAACACCATTGTTAACTCTCTTAGTAGCATAAATGAGCTTTCCAATATACATGGGTGTCAAATGGATAAGTCTTAACTTATATGGACTTGGACCAAAAAGTTGAACATGTGAAATACTCATAAGGCAAAAACAACCCATGGAATTAAGTGGACTAGAATTAATCTATATACAAATATCTTTTAAAAAATTATTATAATTCATTAAAAATATTTATTTTATATAATATATTTTTTATTATAAACTTATAAATGAATAAAATTTGTATAATATTAAATAAAATATAATAATTTAGTATAAGATTGAGTTACATGTTTATTTAATTTTTTTTGTATTACTGATAATTATTGAATCATAGTAATATTTTTGTATTCATATAATTTTATAAATAAATTCTTAGCACATTTTTTTATAACTTTATTTGAATAGTAACTATAAAAATTTTCATGTTTTAATATCTTTATATTATTATTTATTTATTATAAAAAATTTAAGATCATTACATGCTCAATAAATATTTTGAAAGTCACAAATAGAGATATAAAACTGAAAGAAAATGCTAACTGAATGTATTAAGTCATCTGTTATCAAAATACTTAAAATGATTTATTTAAATAAAATTTAATATATTAAAAAAATATAACTGCAACACTATCATCATGAAAAATATAGACACATAATAATATTACAAAACTCATAAAATAACTTATGAATTTAGTAAAAATTAATAGATATTTACAAATTTAAATTTTAACTCATTTTAATTTGATAAAATTTATATTTTAAAGTGAAATAACTCAATTTGATAGAATTGATAAAAAAATTTATTTTTTAAAATATAATTTTCATAATAATTTAATAGGATAAAGAAACATGTAAAAAAAATAGCATAATATTATTAATTACTCTTTAAAATATGTGGAGTTTACTCTTTTAAAAAAGTGAGCTAATTCACTTCTAACTCTACATTAATCTTATTTTTTTTTAAATATATATTAAGACCTAAGGTCAAAATAAGCCCATTATGACTTAAAAAAATATATGAATGTGTAAGTGAATTATGTGAGGTCAACGGTCGGACTATAGACTATATTGTTAAAGTTTTATTCACTCTCGTTGCTTGTGCAAAAAGCCTTGAGACGCTACATGAGGTGATGGTGATGGC